AAAAAAAAAAAAAAAAAAAAAAAAGAAATCATAAAATGAACCAGAGTGTTTTAAGTAGTGACAATAGGTATGGATACAATCAAAATACACTGTATGAAATTGAATTGAAGATTGAATAAATAAATATGTTTCTAAAAGACAATATAATGAATATATTAGAGAAGGAACTATTCATTAGTCACTTATTAAAGGTACTGGTTTAATTTTAAGTCTTTTTATTAAACAATATTCATGACAAAAAATACTATAAGACTTAGAGCAACATTAATATATGAATACTATATAGACATTTACATATTGCCACTACTGCTGTTGGTTGTAATTTTACTCTGGTATCTAGGTATCTGAGATTAGTCTAGGTGCTGATTTCTGGATCTGTTGGGCAGGCTCTGGATCTGTTGGGCAGGTATTTTGTTCCTTGTTTTCTATTTCCTCTCTGGATTTTCAGATAGTGTGACAGCTGTGTGTTGGCTGTTTTCCTGGCCTGCTTAGATGGTGTGTTAACAAGAAATGACTGGTGGTTTTGGTGGCTGAGATTCTGGGATAAGTTGGGAGAAGGAACATTGGAGTAGGTCTTTGTGATGTATTGGGTTTGAGATCAGAGAGAAACAGGAGACCACAGCAAGTTTTTTTTTTTTTTTTTTTTTTTTTTTTTTGCTGCAGAGCTGGGAATGAGACTGGGGGAAATTATATCTCAGGAACAGTAGGAGAGGTATGAGGTATGGGTTCACCACCAACTTACTTCTTGCCTAGGTGGAACAATCCTAGGAGTAGCAGAGAGTGCTTCCTGGGGTTAGGGGCTGGGATAAAACTACAAATTTGGGGGAGGGAAAATAGGAGGACATGGTCTGTGGAAATTCACAAACAGTCCAGACTGTTGTTAAGACAAAAGTATGCTCTCCCCAAACTGACAGTGGGGGGCCCCACAAACTCCTAACAACTTATTAAATATGGAGAAGTCAAACTGGTGCCTATATGATACCTTCACTCATAGATTCTTGTTTCTTTGGTGTGCAAGGTACTCTGTAGACTACTTACGGAGAAATGTGGTCACCAATCCAGCCACAAAACCTCTGACTTTGTCCAGCAATTTGTTTGCCTGTGAAATATACTAGACAATGGTGGCACAGAACTCATGGGAGTAGCCACCTAATGTCTGATTTGACTGAGGACACACTCCACTCCACCAGAAGAAACCCATGACACTACTTAGGTAACCAAGAAGCAGAGATTAGATAGTCCAGAATCCTGGAGTAAACCAGTCACTATTTGTCTAAAATTTAAAAAAAAAAGTATCAATCAAATGACTCCCTAATGGTATTCTGATATACACAATGATCATCTGAGTTTCTTTCCCTGTCAATAGGTGGGAACAGGTGTAGAGATCCACAGAAAGAAATTATGGGAAGAGAGCATCTAAATGGGAGATCTTCATGCGGTCTCTCCCATCAAAGCTGAAGGAATTTTTGAGGAAGAGTAGAAAGATTATAAAAACCAGAGAGGATGGAGGACACCAGAAGGACAAGGCCCTCTAAATCAACAGAGCATACCTCATATGCGCTCACAGAGACTGAAGCATCAAGCCCCAGGCCTAGATGGATCTTCACCAGGTTCTCTATTTATATATTACAGCTGTTAGCTTAGTATTTTTATTTGACTTCTGAGTGTGAGCACAAGTGGGTCTTTGATTCTTATGCCTGCTCTTGGTACTCTTTTCCTTTAATTGGGTTGCCATGCCCAACTTCAATATTATAGTTTTTGCTTCATCTTCTTATATTTTATCATGCCATGTTTGGTTGTTAACTTTTAGAAGCCCGTTCATTTCTAGTGAGAGATGAACTGTATATCTGGAAGGGAGAGAAAATGTGGAGGAACTTAGAGGAGTAGAAGGAGGGTAAACTAATTAGAATATATTGTGTGAGAAAGGAATCTATTTTCAATAAAAGGGAAAAAATGGGGGGGGACAAGGATGTTTAGAAGACAGTTTGCCATTATATCCACTTAGCAAGAGATTAGTAGATCCCTTTATGTAGCCCTATGACCTTCTTAACCATGGAGTTGTGTTGAAGTTTAGAATAAAGAAAGTGAACTTCTCCTATGGAGTGCATCTCAAATCAAATCACTGTGTGGATTTTTTAATTCACCCAATGCCATGCCACTATTTACTAGTAGTTTCATCTTGTTTAGTGTTTTTTTTTGTTGTTGTTGTTCATGTTGTATCTCAGCAAGGTAAGACTATTGTTATTATTTATTTCTCTTTCAGCATCCTGCATGTCACCTACAAACATGAAAAGCAACCAGTATTAAAGAAGTTTCCCACTAATTCTGACCTGACTTTCTATATTATACAAGCAAAGTTGATAGGTTTATTTTCTATCTCACAGTTGCTGTCTCTGTATTTATCAGATGCATCAGCCTCTATTATGCCAAGATACACTCATTCCATCCATAATATCTCTATGCCGTTCATCATGAAGGCATGTTGAATTTTGTCAATGGCTTTTTGTCATATATTGAGATAGTTTGTGACTTTTATTCTTGAGGTCATTCATGTGATAAATTATGGTTATTGATATTTTTATAATTTTTTATCTATATATTGTACTGTTATTACTTTATTTCTGGAGCCATAAAATACTTCGGAAGGGTTTCTTCATATTTTGTTTTATAACACAAATATAGAAGCATTGGTTTTAGTTCTACTTTAAAGGACAGAAAGAATTCTTCAGTGAGACCATATAGTTCTGGGCATGTTTTAGTTCTGAAAATTTTAATTATTGCCGAAATTATATTGGTTTTTTTGAGCATGAGATAAATTTTTAGGGCACCTTGGTTTAATTTTAGTAGTTCATATGTACCCAGGATTTGATACATTTCCTTTAGAATATCTGATTTGGTAGAATGCAAATAAAGTATGTCCTTATGACTTTCTGAATTTCTTTAAGGTCTGTCTTCTCTTTTGATTTTGCTTAAATTGGCTAAAGTATGTTAATAAGTTTTATTTTTCCAAAGAATCAACACTTAATTTTATTGAAAAACATTATTTTGTTGCCATGGGGTGCATATCTGTCCTAAAGTAATTATTTCTTTTTGTCTCCTTCTTTTGGATTTATTTGCTCTTGCTTATCCAGGACTTTAAAACATATCATTGACACACACACACACACACACACACACACACACACACACACACACATATGATTTTAAATATGGCGTTTTCATTTTCATTCACTTCCAAGAAATATTTATTTATTTATTTATTTATTTATTTATTAAAGATTTCTGTCTCTTTCCACCGCTGCCTCCCCTTTCCCTCCCCTTCCCCCAATCAAGTCCCCCTCCCTCGTCAGCCCAAAGAGCAATCAGGAAATTTTTAATTTTCTCATTGAGTTCTTCAATGACCTCTTCTTTTAATAGTGCATTGTTAAATATGTATATTTCTGTAAGTTCTTATCATGTATTTAACATTATTTCACTGTGGTCATTTAGCAAACAAAGTTACTCTATTTTTTTTTTCAAAATAATTAAGATTTGTTTTGTGTCCTAATATGTGATTTATTCCTGAATAAATCTCATGTACTGCTGAGAAGAATTTTGTATTCTGAAGTATTTGGGTGAAATACTCTATAAGTAACTGTTAAATTCATTTGATCTATGGTGTCTTTTGTCGCCACCATTTCTGTATATTTTAGATGATATGTCTCTTGATGAAAGTAGGTTCGTGACTTAATCTTCTTTTACTGAGTTAGGGATAACTGATTATATCTAGTAGTGTTTGCATTATGAAATTAGAAGTATATGTTTTCAGGTCATAAGGTCATACACATTTAGAATTTCAATGTATTGGTCTACATGTACTAGTCTCCTACTGAGTATTATTTGCCCTTCTTTGACTCTCTGGCTTATGTTAATTTGAAGTTTTCAAATATTAAAATAGTGGTGTATGCTTGTTTCTTAGTTTCTGGTTTTGAATACCTCTGTCTATCGATGCTTTCTAAAAAAGTGTTTATCAATGAGAGTGTAGTATAATTTTTTGGAGGATAGTGTAGGATAGTGTAATTAAACAAGAAAATATTCTATTTGCACATCTGGTCTGCTACTTTGTACTTTCTGATTGGGAATTAAGACCATTAACAGTCACTATATAATAGAAAAATGGGACTTAATTACTGTCATTTTGTTTATTTTACACTAATGATGCATTAGTAACTCCTTTGCTTCTCAAGTGTATGGGTTTTTTTTTTTTTTTTTGAGACAGTGTTTCTTGCTTTGAAGTCTGTCCTGGAACTAGCTCTTATAAATAAGGCTGGCTTCGATCCACCTGCCTCCACCTCCTGAGTGCTGGGATTAAAGGCATGTGCCACTACTGCCCAGATGCTTGTCAAGTGTTTTAATATCATACTATTTCTCTGTACAGCATTTAGTGCATTTATCTTTTGCTTCAGCCAACAGTGTTCTTTCCAGTATCCTGTAGTGTTCAGTTACTTGTCATAAATTCCTTTAGCCTGTTTTGATCATGGAAAATATTTCATGTTTCCTTCAATTTTGAAAGATAATTTTTTTTTGACTAAAGTAGTTTTGATAGGCAACTATCGAATTTCAGTACTAGAAGCATTTGTTTCCCAAATCTTCTAGCTTTTTTCCATTGAAAAATCAGCAATGAAATAGATAAGTCTTTGTATGTGATTTATTCCTTTTATTTTACAGCTTTTGGTACCATTTTTTTATTCTGTACATTTGGCTTCTCTTATATAATTGACATGGTTGTTTATTTTCTGAGTTTGTGTATTATGTATTATGTGTCTCTCCTCCTTTGATGAGCAGCACTTTCTTTTTTGTGTCCAAAGTATCTCACTATTATATTTATGATTGTATTTTATTGATATTTTCTTGGATGAAATGATTAGTTTCCTACATATCAAATGACTGCTTAATCCAAAAAATTCTCTTCTCACTTCAGCAGCACATATAGTAAAATTGGAACCATACAGAGAAGATTAGCAAGGGCCCTGTGCAAGGATGACACACAGATTCATGAAGCATTCCATATTTTAATTAACAGCCACTTGTCATTAATATCTCTTAATATCAATGGACTCAATTCACCTATAAAATGACAGAGGCTAAGAGAATGGATACAATAACAGAATCCAGCCTTCTGTTGTATAAAAGAAACACAACTCAACCTCAAAGACAGACATTGCCTCAGAGGTGCTGGGTAAAAAAATTCCAATCAAATGGACCTAAGATACAAACAAGTGTAGTTATCTCAGTTTCTAACAAAAAGATTTAAAACTAAAATCAATCCGAAGAGATGGAAAAGGACACTTTATACTCATAACAGGAACAATCCATCAAGATGTAGTATCAGTCATGGACATCTATGACCCTAATACATTCAGAATATAAATGCACTATATTTTGTAAGAAAAGCAGTGTCCTTAATCACCATTCTTGGAGTGAGAAAATGAATGGAGAGAAACAAAACATGAAACTAGAAAATATGATGAAAACTGATAAAGGCATATTCCACAGAGAGATAAAGAAGCAGTCAAAACCATACATACGAAGTGTTGGAAATTCCAGAACTTAAGTGATACCAGGTGTTATGACTTCTATCAACATTTTCAGGGCAAAAAGAAACTTAAAGATAATTAAGAAAACTAGAAAAGGTGTTATGCAGGATAATAATTATTAAGTAAGTTCCTCATCAGTTGGTAATATAATGAACTTCAAAGAAGTGTATCTGAAAACTAAGCTAGACACCTTTTCTCATTATCAAAAATATAGTATATGCTAGATAGACATTGAGAAGATACACATTGGGGTGTGTTAAGCATAACTAGAGGTCTAGAACATGAGAACAGAATTTTAATGACATAAATCACATGGAGTGGCAGAGATGAAGACTTTTGTAAATTCAGCTATAAAATGGATTATTCAAATACAGTGGAAAAGTCCAGGCCCAGATCACTGCCTAGGGTCATGTCTGTGGTTGTGGCCCTGCAGTGGCCAGGGTCTGAGTTCATGTCCATAGTTCCTGTTACCACCAAGGGCTCTGTAGTTGCACAGCATCTGGTTGGTCACCTGAGAACATATTGTTGTTTGAGGGCCATGCTGCCACCAAGGCCAGGATACCAAGCTTCTGAGGGCCATGCCTGGGTCCATGGTCCCACTAGAGCTGGGGTCCATGATAATATCCTTGGCCTGTGTTAATACAGGGGTTCATTGGAACCATGTTGTACTGAGCTAGCCCTGCCCTTCACTGGCCCTAGATAGCTGGCTCAGCCCCTTGTTGATATTGCAGCAGTATAACTAGACGTGTCCTTAATGGGAGAACTGGCCCCTGCAATTGGGAAAGATGGCCCCATCCTTCATCACAGGTATAAACCCCACCTGGGCAGAACACTAGAGCTGTCCCTGTTTTGGAGGTGCAGGTGAGGCAACCCTAAAACCATGAAAGCAGGAGAGCTGACCTTGCTCCCTCAGGGTCTGCCATGGGATGACATGGATGAGGGAAATATACTTTTCCCTTTTTACTCGGGATCACAAGATTGGGAAAGCTAGTCCTGAGCTTCACCAGCAGCAGCACACGAGAGATTGGGCTTTGCACCCTGTCTGGGCAGAACACTAAATCTGACCCTGTTGTGGGGATGCAACTGAGCCAGCTCTCAGAGCATGAGAGTAGCAGAGTACACTCTGATCCCCTCATCTGCCATGTGGTGGCAGGGGTGAAGGAAACATGCCTTCAATACCACCCAACCATGTATCCCTCAGTACCTGTAGCAGATGAGAGGTGACCCGAGGGTCATAAGAGTGATAGAACTATTCCTGGCCCTCACCAGTTGCAGCACACAAGAAAGTGATAATCGCACACTGCCTGGGAAGCACACTAGAGCTGACCATGTTAGCCAGGGTTGCAGGTGAGCCAGCCCTGAGTGTTTGAGAACAAGAGAGCTGACACTACCTTGTAAATGGTGTAAATGGAGGTTTCTTTCCTGCCCATCAGTTACCCAATAACCTCTCTGAAGCTTAGTATTAATTATAAACTATTTGACCTACTAGCTCAGGCTTATTATTAACTAGCTCTAACCACTTAAAATAACCTATTTCTATTATTCTATATTTTTACCATGAGGTTTGTGGCTTGCTTTCCCAGAGGCTGTTGTCATCTCTCTCCTCTCTTTCCCTGCATCTTTTCTTGTATTTCACACAAGGCTCTATTCTACCTACCTATTAGCCAAATCAGCTTCTTTATTAACCAATGGCAATAAAACATATTTGCAGAATACAGAACGCCATGCCGCATCACCTCCTCCAATGCTCCTTACAGCAATCAAGAAAGAGGGCCCTGTAACTTCCCTGGGCAAAACAGTAGAGCTGGCCTTGGCAGTATGAGTGTGGGTGAGTGGAACTGAGGATTTGAGAACAGAAGAAATGGATCCGTTCCTTGATGTAGGCTACATTGGTTAAGTTAGCCAAGGCAGTGCTGGAAAGCTTACCTGGGTAAAGATGATGATGCACAGCTGACAGCCTGAACAATCCAGGTGACACCCAGGCCCCAGAACCGTCGCTGTAAGTTGGCATATCCCAACATCTACCTCATCTATGAACTATAGGAGCATGTGAAGGGGATGAACCTACAGATCTAAAACAAAAGGATTTCTAAGACACAGGACAACAACAGGATATCCAAAATGAGCCTAAGCAAGAGCTTCCAGTATCAATGCTATAGCAGAAGTCAGAGGCCTTCAGCCAAAACCATTTCTCCAATGACTCATGGCAATGAACAGTTACTTGCAAGTAAAGATGCATGGACTAAAGGGCAAAACGTATAACTGAACAGGCAACACTACAGCTTCCATGATGAGATTCTTCTCCTTTTTTTGTTTTGTTTGTAATATTTGATGTTTGCTTTTACGTTTAAATTTAGTTTTAGCCGGGCGCGCACGCCTTTAATCCCAGCACTCGGTAGGCAGAGACAGGAGGATCTCTGTGAGTTCGAGACCAGCCTGGTCTACTAGAGCTAGTTTCAAGACAGGCTCCAAAGCCACAGAGAAACCCTGTCTCAACCCCCCCCCCAAAAAAAATTTAGTTTTATTTTGGTGAGGGCAGAAAGAGAAAACAAGGGAATGGGGATATAAGTGGGATCAGAATGCATGATGAGAAATAAAAAAGAATCGAAAGTTAAAACCTTTAAAAAAGAAAAAAGTTATACTGTAGGTATTTTGCAATGTAGGAAAAAGTCATACAATTTCTATAGTTCATATTTGAATTTACTTTGAATACTAATTAACAAATATTTTAAGGTCAATGATAAATTAAAGCATTTTTACATGATGATATTTTTATCCATTCATACTTTAATTAAAAAATTCTATATAGAAAATAATCTGATGGGCAGAGGTGGATGATACAAAGTTTAAAAATATAAAAACTGAAATCTGTATTCATGTCTAATGAAATAATGAAGGTAAAAACATGATTTAAATATATAGCATACCAGAATTTTCTGCAGCATGGGAGACAGACACAGAATCCTCTCATGGGCTTTAATTTAAAAGAATATTCATTAGCCTTTACTGCTGGATGTTATGAAAGCATACTTTAATAAGTGATATCACACATGTGCATTGTCTTAGAATATAATGTCTTAGTGCCTTGTGTAATGCCTAAAACCATATGCAGTTGGTTACCATTGAGTATGTGCTGCTAAGTGGGATAATGAGCATTACAAACATGATATATTTTTAATTGTCAAAACAAAGATAGCACAGTAGCATAGATGTCATAACAAACAGATATTATGTATTCTTATTCTTTTTAAATCTTTTGCTTGTAGAAATCATAAACACAATTAATCTGAGGATTTCTTGTATCTGTGGCAGTGAATATAATTAATCCATTGGCTTTCTTCTCTTTCATCAATGCATTTAAGGAACTTTTTGGTTTACAACGTGGAAGAGACAATGATACAGGTTGTTGTTCATGAATCACCTTCAGTTTAAATGAAGCCAGTCTGCTAGCATTTCAAGCATCAGTGTACCCATTAGCATTTCCATGTAATTATATGCATATATCTAGATACAAATTGCCTTGTCTAAGTTTATACTCAGACATGACTTACTACATGTCAGGGAGTCCATAACTCTCCTATGTAAAACACACAAAAATCTATTTTCATTAACAAGAACCTTAGTGTGCACTGCAATGAAAAGTACAAAGTTCCTATATGGAAAAAAAAATTCCACTTATTTTTTATACTGTGTGTTGGCCTTTCTTTTTTTCATGCTAGTGATGTTCCTTCTTATTCTATATTAAAAAAATAAAAATATATAACAAAAAATATATAATACATAATATTCATATACATATTATACATACATACATACATAATATTCATTATTTTTCAAAATACGGATAAGAATAATGAAAGGTCATTTAAACAGATTATTCAAATAGATCTTGACAGTGACAGCAGTTGAGGGTTTATTTTAACAAAGAAAACAATTGTTTAAAACAATTCTTATATTCTGAATAGTGATCAAAAAGCCTTTTAATTGTCACATAGTCATGTTACTATGTGTATATTTGTGCTTTCTTTTCTTATGAATATGGAGAGAAAACCATATATACCAAAGTACTGATTTTTGTGTTTTGTAAACATTTTAAACATATTGTAGATGACTTAGTGAGAAAACACATTCATATAACTACATACTTCACCAAGTCACCAAACAAAAATGACAACCTTTGTTTATTGACTTGGTGAAGCATGCAAATTAGGAGGATTTTGGAAAATAAGTGTGTGATTTTCTTCATAAGGTTTTAAAGCTACTTCCTGTCTACAAACCTGATTATGAACTATCACTCACAACCTTTGAAAACAGTGTCAAGTTTATGTGTCTTAGCTTCCAGCTGTAGGCTGCAATCTTTCTCTTCACTGTAGATTTAAGTATTATGATCTAATTTTAAATTAGACTCTGGTAAAATTTGTTATTTAGTTAATGGCAACTCCAAAATACCTAAGAAATACTGACAGGTATACAGTATG